CTCTCCCATCAACCACTAAGAGTCCCCAGAGACAGCTGGCCATCTTCATAGATCCAGGAAGTGTGAAATCACCATAAGCTTTTCCATCTTTTCATACCACTTCACCCAACACCAGTTGCTGATCAACATAGTGTTCTCGCAAGCTCTGATATCCTGAAAATACCAGGAAGAATTAAACCATGAAATGCTACCCCCCCTTGGGCTCCCTTGCCCTTGTCTTAGGTTTTGTGCAATTAAGGCTGAACACACAGCACTGATATGGCTGCCAAAATTCTCATGAATCCTACTATGGCTCCCTCGAGCCTCCTCCATCTTGGAGCCCAACAGTGACTCATGGGTGATCAGTTTCCTGGTGCTGACCCCAATCCCATGCCAACATCACACTTCATCAGCCTTGACATTCTCCTTTGTAACTGGATCTTTAATAGAATTGGATTTCTTCTATAATCCCTCTTGAAAAGCAGAACTGATGGCACTGGGCAATTCTCTAATCAAGTCAGAGGCCATTAATTTATATGGAAGTCAAGAGGCAGAATAGAAGGTGCTGTGCCATAGTCAGAAATGCTAGTAAGGCTGGGCCGGGATTTGACCCAGTGGTTCCACCACTTGCCTCACAAGCACAAGGACCCAAGTTTGATCCCCAGTACCCCCCCAAAAAAAAGAAAGAAAAGAAAAGAAAAAATAAATGCTAGTAAGTTTTAAAAAAAACTATATTAGATTGCTACACAAGATCCCAATGATGAATGTAACTGTTTTGTATACCTGAAAAGTACCAATAACCTTTATATTAGATTGTTTTTATAAGCAGGAATTTGTCTGAATGCTTCCCACCAGCACCTCAGAAATGTTAGTCATTTTAGTAATAATTTTAAATATACAAAAAAAATTAGATCAATATTTGGGGAGGAATTTATAGCGAATTTTGTGACTAATCTTTTCCTTCTCTCTCTTTTTTTTGGGGGTGGGTACTGGGATCAAACTCAGGACCTTGCACTTGTGAGGCAGGCAGTGGAACCACTAAGCTAAATCCCCCACCCTAATTCTCTTATCTCACAGCCAATGTCAATCTAACAATATTGACAGCAAGAAAGGACTAATGATAATAAAATTATAATTGCTTAGAATTCAAGAGTCCCTTTTCCAAGTATTGTACACATGATATCTTGTTTAATCCTTATAAAATAGAACCACCATTGCCTGCATTTTATTAATGACAATACTGGAACTTTAAGGGGCCAAGGTAAATAAATATTCATGGTCACATGGCTAAGGACGGCTAAACCAGCATTCCAGCCAGGTCTCTCTGACCCTGGAACTTGCCTTCTTAGCCTCTAAACAAACTTGGACTGAACAGGCAAGAAATGAGATTTGGTTGGCTCTTACTCTGTGTTTTTGAATTATGTTTCTTTGCCCAATTTTTGTCTTTCTGCAGTATTTGGAAGGCAAAAGAGTGTGACAAAGTCTCAAAGCCGTAAAACACTTGCAGGAGTCAGAGACAGTTGACCTCAAAAGAACTAGTCAGACTTTTATTTGTTAAATCATAGTTTAGCTCTTCAGGGAAAGCTGTCAGTGCTGAAGAGAAAAGAGAAAGGTGTCACCTGGTGCATATTCAGCCCACCGTAGGCAATGCTGGAACTCTGGAATTACATGAGGTTTCACATACCAGTGACTTGTGGCTGGGGAAGTGAGGTGGTGGTAATGCGCGTGTGAGTTTGTGTGTATCGGGGATGAAGTCAGAATGAAGTAGACTATCATTCCTTTTGTGAGGAGATTGTTTTAAGCCTCTTAGATTTCTTCTAGTTTAATTATTTTTCCAGAAAACTTACAGGCCCTCCCCTGCCAAAAGGAAAGTTAACTTTCTTGCATTATCTGTTAAAATATGGTACATTCCTTTATTCTTCAAGTAAATTCATACTACTACGCATTTGAGAGTCTGAAATATGTCTCATTGTAACATAGTATACACACACACACATACACATATAGTGTGGGAGGAAGCATAATACAATTAATATTTTTAAATCAATTTTATAGTACATCATATTATCTACTTTGTCTGCCATATATATATATATATATATATATATATATATATATGCACTATTCATTTTAATACTGCACAAATATTGGTGAAATTTTATATGATAATAAATTTTCTAGTTTTCCTAAATTTTCTGCAAAAATGTTACTTACGTACTTAGAAAACTAAATGATGTTTATTATTATTTATTACTCTTATTGACACTATAATTAAAACACACTCATCTTTAACTTCCCAAGTGAGAAGCTCAGGTTTTTTCATTGCCAGTGGCAATGCTGCTAGGGAGACACTTGGCCTTGTGTGTACCTCTTAACAACCTCTTTATCATATATGTTTCCACACACACAATCTTCCCTAGCAGGTGGAGAAGGAGACCATGAATTTTTGCCTCACACACATGGCTGACTCAGGCTGGAAAATGTGGGGAGTGTAGCCGTCTCCCTTCATGGCTCAGTTTGGCAGCTACGGCTTCCAGGAGGTAGCCAGGAGACTGTGGCTCTGAAAGCCCAGGGAGACCAGATCTGCCAGGATTGCCTGGGTGATCATTATCCCGCTCAGGCAAACAACAGCAGCAATAGCCAGCCAGTCTGTCCTGCATAGCATGGGGATGGTGGGCTCCAGCTGCTAATGTACTCTTGCACCACAAAGGAAATTCTGCGCTGCAAGGGAACAGATGTTGGTTTCCAGGAAGATGAGTGACCACTGCTGGGCAGCATTTCATCTCAAGGTGGACACTGGAAAAAAATCCATGCATGTGATCATGAATACCACAAAGGCAGAGTGCTTTGGAGAATCATCTGGCTTCTCCCCAATCTGAGGCAAGGAAGAGCCTCATGTGCCAGCTGCCCAGACTAGCCAGGTGAACCCCCAGTTGCACAACTGGGTTAGTTCCTCCAGTTAACACAGTTAGAAAATTTAATAATCTTTTAATTATCTTTAATAAGCTTTCAATATACTGCAAGAGCCAAAAGCAACACATACCCATAGGAACAATGGTTCTGAGCCTAGAACCCAGGCACATACAAGTATAGTCACGTGTTGTTTAACGAAGGAGGTGGATTCAGAAAAATGGCTCCTTAGGCAATTTTTTGTTGTGGGGATCACAGAGGAGACTTACACAAACTAAAGTGGCTTGGGTGTCACTAGACAATGTAACTCATGCAGTCTTCCATTGATCACAGTGCTGTTATATGGCACATGACCATACAAGAAATGAACATTGCCCTTCCGAGAACTAAGCAGAAGACTGAAGAACATGAAATTATCTGAACATGCCACACGAGAGTACATATTCATAATGTGTGCCATGAGTGTGAACTCTCCCCCAAACACTTGAGTTTGCCACTTTCTTACTCCTCCAAATCAGATGAGTATGGTTCCAAATTCCAATCGATCCAGCTAGCAGAATACCAAGCATCTGGCTTCTTTCCCTCCTCCATTACAGCACGCAAGAATTCCCGGTTGTCCAGGCCTTGGTCTGTGATGAAAGACACAGTTTTGTCATCCTTCTGCTGTGAAGCCTGCTGCTGAGTGAGCTCTGTCTCCACCATGAGTCAGTCAGCCCACAAAAGTGCGATGGTTTTCAAGTATGGAGCGTGACCCAGGCTGAGCCGTGGAAGACCCCACCTCTCCTCACAGCTCCTCATTGTTGGGCGTGAGTTTGTACACAGCCTTGCTGTCTCCTCTGGGCCCTGCTCCGCAGGGCTGTGAGGATGGACACAGCCTCTGACATGTCCACTGCCATTTGTTGTCACTCTTCAACTCGGATTTTCTTCTTCATCACAGTGAAGACCAGGTGAAAAATAGTATCTCAATAGGATTTTCATGGGGGAACATGGGTTCCAGTCTCCATCCACGTAAAATGTCACTTAAAAGATTCATTGTGTTCAAGGCTGGGTTGCTGATGAGCTTTAGGGAAGTGATTGGGGCATCAGGACTTTTTTCTTCGACAGAAAATTAACCCATCAATGAGATAATAATTTGATGTCACTACTTGAAGGTGATGGAAACAGGAAGTGGAGCCAAGTTGGAGGGAAAAGAAGGCGTGGCCATCATGGTTCCTGACCATTTTTCCCTTGCTTCCTGCTTCCTGGCTGCCATGAGGTGAGCAGCTTTACTTTGGTTCTCTACACCCTTCCCCCATGATGTTTCTGCCTCACCTCGGGCCCCCAGTAGTGGAACCAGACCATGGACTGAGACCTCTGAAACTATGAGCCGAAACAAATCTTTCCTCCTTTACTTTGTTCTTCTTAGGTATGCACTCAGAGTGATGCAAAGTTGATGAACACAGCACTCAGTGCAGGATGAAATACCTTTCAAAGCACAAGTCATATTTAAGATGACAAATGGTTTTCCTATGCAGCACAAGATTGGATTAAACAGAATTAACCCATGTTTTTCCCCATGGTCACTGTAACTTACCTGAGCCATATCATGTACTTGGCTGGAAAGTGCAGGCTGGCCCGGACGGGACCCTAGAGAGAGCTTCGTATTTCCCCTTGCCTAACACCAAGTGCCTCTTGGTCTCCAAAACCTCACTGAACACCGGAGCATATACTTACTGCGTATAGCCACTCCCTCTATTCTGCATGGCATGTGTTCGTTCTCTTCCTCCCTCCTTGCCTTCCTCTTTCTTTTCCTCATCTTTCCATTTTATGTTAGTATCTTTCTTTGTTGCACCTTTCTTCTAAAACAGGGACTGAGTGACCCTGTGCGTCTAGGTCATCTTAAAATTCCCTCTAACACTCCACTCTCTGAACCCCTGAGATTCTTTTCTTCTGAATCCTTGCTTCCTCCTGTGTTGTATTTTTTTTAATCCAAGATACTGTCTGGTAGATCTTCCCAGACCCTTATGGGAGACAGGGTGGTGGCAGTGAGTTCAGCTTCTAAGAGACCTGGAACTGAGTATAAATTCCAGTTCCAAGCTTACAAGGTGCAAAACTGTGAACAAATCCCTTACCTTTCACAGCTCCGTTTTCTCAGACATGCAATGCTCCTCCTTTCCTTTGAGCACAGCTATGAACCTAAAATGAGACAGTGAATTCACCACAACTTCCTTTCCTGTGGCTGCAAAAGGAGCCACCCACAGAATGCTCTGCTGCCGTGTGTTGGAGTGAGGAGGGTGGTGACCAGCGCATTCACTGCACCTTACTAATTCTCATCAGAAACAGTTAGGGATGAGAAAAAATAATGTATTTTTGAAAAAAACACTCTGTTTTCTGTAGATAATAGAATCTTCCCTCTCATGTCTGACATCTTTCCGAGCTCAATGTTTTATGGGCACAGTTTTATGATAATATTGTTCCAGTTTTCTCATGTTCCTGAGCACAGTGAGTCACTTCCAAGCTATTGGCCACTTCCAAAAGTGATTTCAACAGAGTTGTCAGAGTGTGCATCCAAACCATCAAAATGTCTCTGCTGGGGCACAGCAGGAAGTCTGCAAGTTTGCAGACCATGAAACTACTTCTTGTTGGGGGACCAGGAATGGGTCACAATGTGACCGATTGACTGGAGTCTTTAAGGAAAGCGAAGATTTAGAAGGATAGAGAGAAATCTATGTAGTTAATGGAATCAATCTTAGGAAATCTTATATGTAAGCATGTGTATAATTTAAATATGTGTAATAATGTAAATATAATAAGTGTATATGCAATTATACATATACATGCTCATGCACACACACCTAGGCACAGCAGGGGCCTGGGATTAGGAAGTGTTCCTGTTTTTATTAGCAGGGAAAGACCTGAGGCTATAGCTTATCTCTGAGGAGGAGCAGCGGCATCAAGGAACCAAGGGAAGGATGAGTTTGGGAGTGAAGACCCAGGAGGCAGCGAGAGTGAGAGTGTAGATGCCCAGTGCTGGCCGTGTGCCTGGATGAGAGCACACACTCACTAAATATCTGTTTGAGTGGAACAGGAGCCACATAAGCACTCCTGTAAACTGCACAAGGAGCTCTGATGGCCCACTGCTAAACACTCACGGTCCCTGTTTTCCCCCTTTCCTTTTCTTTGCATTTTGTTTTTCATATTCCTGAGGTCTTCTACGGTTAGTCCCCCTACTTTTATACCACTGGTCTCTCAAATGCTGGGCCAACTGGCACAGTAGGTCATCAGTACTCAGCTCCTGGCTTCTCTAACTCAAGTAACAAAGATAAAATAAACGAAATAGATAAAAATAAAGAGATACACACACATGTGCTTGGCAAAATTACAATGTTTTTCCTTTTTCTTTTCTTTTCTTTTCTTTTCTTTTTTTTTTTAGATAGGGTCGACAGTGTAGCCCAGGCTGGCCTTAAACTCACAGTGATGCTATTGCCTCAGCCTCCCTAGTGCTGGGAGTACAGGTGTGCACCACCACACCTGGCTTAGAATGACTGTTTATTAGAAACAAGTATGCTTCTAAATTTTTTATTTCACACCCACCCTCCTATACAATTCACTGTTTTCTTCAAACCCATTGGTTGTCAGCTGGCACTGACATTTAACATTCGGAGACATTTAACATCTGGCTATTACATCTGGACAGGTGTCACTGTCATCTCCTGCGCACAGACCCAGGCCACTGCAGAACACCTCCCAATACTCAGGACAGCACTACCTGGTCTAGATCATCATTGGAGCCAAGCCTGGGACGCCCTCTCTTATACCTTTCTTATATTTACTTTATTAATGAACGACATTTTAAGAACAAATTTAGGTCTACATAAAAATAAAGAAGATAGCATCAGGAGCTCCTCTGTATCCCATATTCAGTTTCTCTTATTATTCACTAAGATTAGTTATTGGCATTATTAACTAAAACCCATACTTCATTTGGATTTCCTTAGCTTCCCCTATTGTTCTGTCACTGTTGCTGGTGCACATCCAGTACACCACATCACATTTGGTTGTGTGGACTTCTTGCTACCCTTCCATTCTCTAGGATGTGCCAGTTTAATAACCTTCTCCTTTTGATTACCTGGACACTTTTGAGAAGTACTGGGTCGGTGTTTCATCTAATGTTCTCCAACAGAGATTTGTCTGATGTTTTTCTCTTGATTAGTCTGGGTGCAAGTCCACACAGATAAAGTGCTACATTATTTCAACAGTAGATTCTAGACATAGCAAGACGCTTATCTCAAAAAAAACAAACAAAAAGTATATTCTACACACATGATTTATCACTGTAGTTGACCTGAACACCTTGGCCAAGGTAGTGCTCATCAGGTTTCTCCACTGTAAAACCACTTTCTCCATTCCCTCTTCTCATGCTGCAGAAGGGACTCACTATGTACAGCCCACACCTGAGAAATGGGAAGATGTCCTCTTGATAATGGTGAACTTCTTTTCTTGCAGTATTAGGGAATAAACCCAGGGCCTTCACACTTAACTATGTCTTCAGTCCTTTTATTTCACTTTTTATTTTGTGAGCAGGGGCCCAGGCTGGGCTTAAACTTGTAATCCTCCTGCCTCAGCCTCCCAGTGTGCTGGGATTTCAAGCAGACACCACCACACCAGGCTTGATGATTGCTATCTCTTTTCTGTAACTTATTTATTCAATCACTTGCTTATTTTCATATCAACTCATGTATATTTCTTCTGTAGTTTGGGCTATCACACTATATATGTTACCTATTTTCTTACTCCATTTTTTCCAGCTTTGGCCATTGGAAGCTCTTTCATTTGAAGTTGTTGGCTGGTGCCCTCGCTTGTTTTAGAGCATTTCCTTATTTTGTGGAACCATGAGATAGATACTCTGTGCCGGTGACAGTGAACCTTTCAGTGCTCTCAATCATACGAAGCACCCTGTTGTGGCGTGTGTGCCATAGGCTCGCCACCACTGCTCTGTGCTCATCCTGCACTTGTCCTGTCCTCATTCCAGAATCAGACATTTATCCAGGTATTTATGGTTCTTTTTATTGAAGGATGATATTCAAAGCCAAGATCTGGGTGCTAAGTGTTACTTCTGAGGCTACGCTCACTTTTCATCCTAACAAAAAGCCTCGGCAAAATAAGGGAAAAGAAAAAATATGAGAAAAAAAATGGAAACAAAGTCTTTGAAGAGAGGGGAAGGAGGAGGGGGTGAAGTGAGGGCAGGGATAGGGGGGAAAAATGAGAACCAAGACCTGTCATGTAGAGGTACAAGATCCCAGTGATGAATGGAACTGTACACCTAAAAAGTACCAATAAATGAAATGAGAAAAAAAGTCTAAGCACATAGAATGCCTCTCAATACTGGGTGGTAAGAGCATCACATATACATGATCTATGAATAAATAAATATCGAGACTATGCATCCTATTTTTAAATCCATGTTTAATGCCTACTGCTCCAGAATAGCGTCATTAAAAGGACCCATCTCTAACAAATCCATCTCCATGAGTCCGTACTATGATTTCATGTTCTGAGGAAAGGACTTTATAGCTGTGGAGTTGGGTGTTCATTTCTCAGCCATGCAGAGCAAGAGGTGACTTCCATAGCTCCATCTCTTAGAGATACTGGGGGTCTCCAGAAAGAGCTGGTGATGTAGACTCAGCATTTCCCAGATACAGCAGCTGTTGTAACCCAGCAACGTGACCCTGGTGTAGACGAGAAGGAAGCAAGGGCAGGGATGCTGTTTGCTTTAGCCCAGCTAACTCTGATCTTGAACTGCGCAGACCCACTCGGGGTCCTCCTTGGCCACAACCCTGGCTCCACCAGGACATTAGGCAGCCTTCTCCTGGTTATGTGTTCCCTTTCAGAAGCTGCACCAAGGGAAAGAGGGGCATTTGTTGGTATTTCTCAGGCCTGAGAACAAGAAACTAAACACTCCAACACTTCTACTACTGGGAAGAGTAGCCCGAGTGTGTGTGTGCACAGTACCACGGAATATTACAGAAACCTCAAGAGGACTAACGAGGCAGGAGCCAGCCCTTCGCCTCTCTACCCACAGCACCCCAGGCTTCTCTGTGAGCATTCATGAGATTTCATTCATCCAACAAGCAAATGGGTCCCACAGCTAAAGACAGGCAAATGTTGAGTCCCTTGTTTCTGTCTTTCAAAAACACACTGGATGATAAGTGATTTGACTTTTGAAGAGAACATCTCCAGAAAACCCCACTGCTACTCCTGGCTACAAATATGACAAACAATGGTTCCTGACTAATGCCGGTATTTGGTCTTGGTCGTCAGATCAGCTGTAAACTTGTTGGGCAGTGATTTTGACGGTGGCCCTGTTATATAACGGACAGGGTGGGAAAGATCCCAAAGACTCTGCTCCGGGTAGGATAGGATTGGGTTACCCTAGAAAGCAGCCTTCCATCTGAGAGTCGCTGTGCATTTTGTTGACTTTCGTCATGTAGGGCAGAAATGGCCCCGCTTACCGTGTCTGCAGAGTGTAAGATGTCCTGACCTGAGATCTCCTCTCAGTTCTGCAGGACAGGCTTGCGAGCACTCGTCCATCTGGATCCCGACTTGCAGGGGCCAAATGAGGGCCATAGCTTGCCTTGCATTGCTCCTCTTCACGCTGTGTCTAAGGAGGCCCCAGTCTGCAGAGCTGGCCTCCTAGCAGCTGGAATTTCAGCTGAGAGAAGTCCCTGCTGCAGCTGTCCCAGCCCCCGCCCCTCTTCTCCTCAGCCCATGCTATCCTCACAAACACTCTGGCCACTGCCTGGCCCAGGAAACAAACGCATTTCTGTCAGAGAATCCACAAGACTTCAGTTTGGGGTTAAAAGCATTGAAAATCATAGTATCAGTTATCTCACTCGCAGCCCCAATGTTACCCTCGTCAAATCACTGCTGATTAAAACCAGCCCTGTTAATAAACCACAGGCTTTATTTCCCCTCAAATGTCTATAACCACTTTCTTCAACCCCTATTAAAAGGCAAAACCTAAAGAAAAACACAGCTTTGGAGCCCAAGTGCTGTGCATTCCCCAGAGGAGAAAAAAGTAAGCAAGAAAGAAACAGCTCTTTTTTTCTCACCTTTCCCCCCTCTTAACAGAGTCATAGCTGTTTAGTAACTAAAGAGAGAAGCTAGAATGCAGGATGGAGTTATCCGTGGTCTGCA